GCAGGAAGACTTCCAAATGGAATTTGAGAAAAACACCACAGACAATTTTAAGTAGAGTTCTAAAATCACTGAAGCATCCATTACCCAGAACCACAACTTTTTTACAGTAGCTACTAGCAATCCTCAAATATTTGAGATTTGATTGATTTGGATTATATTTCTCTTATCTCTAGCCAGAGATTTAACATTTATCCCTCAAGCAAAGGTGCCTTTTAACATTCCTCATGTTTCTAATCCGTAACAGATTTCTTTAATTAAACCTGTCACTACCACACTTCTAGTTTTAAAAAAAAAGTGATCTTTACCACTGGCATATGTTTTTTGCTTCATTATGCACTGTTTTGTCTCCATACGAGTAACTCAGTGCCCTCATGTCTATTAGCTACCTAAAGTACTTTCATAACCTTTACATAATGACTCCCTGCTTGATTTCACAAGTCTGATGCATGCAAACGCACTAACACAAGAAGACCACACGAGTTGAAAATGTGCTCAATTAGGCCCTGATTCAGCTGAGAACTTCAGCATGCTCTTACCTTGTACCAAGTTTCAAGGCCAGTTGTGCCACACTAGAAGCATTTACTTTCAGCTGCAAACAACTCCTGAAAAAGTCCTATACCTCTATTTTTTTTTCCTTAAATCTCATTGAATGTGACATGAAAAAGGTACTTGCAGTATGATTTAGGGCTTTTTTTTTATTTCTTTGATTTTAGTTTCACATGACTGTGTTAGCTAACAGACCATAGAAACCTCCTTCAGTACTTTTCCCAATAATCTCATGAGGAGCTCTGTGACAGTGCAGGAATCCCTGAACAGCTGTTATCCACTGCAGAACTGAAGCTTGCCTTATGGAAATTCTTCTTTGATTACGTTTTTTCAAGAGTCTACTACTGTAGTCGTTCAGCTTATAAAGCTACTCACCATAAGAGTCATATGTTTCTTCGCTCAGTCCATGGCCATAGTCATAGTAATCTGCTCCACTGTACGGGAGGAGGGAAGTAGGAGGAAGAAGAACAAGAAATAAAGCAGTTACATTTTAAGAAGCGATGCTTATTATTACACATTCTACCTTTGAAAAGAAGAAAGCTTCAATGATATAGACATGGTCTTAAGGTAAGAAAGGTAAGCAACCATGTGACCATGACAAACTAGATCCTGTTTGTTCATTAATTAGAAAAAAACCACACCCATATTTACTTTCATTTAGGATTCTTTTTTTTTTTCATAACTGAGCCCCTGGTCCACAGTGTAAATGTGGATGTGGGAATTTTATGTTTAAAATTATACTTGTAGTTGGGAAGGCTGAAATCTTAAAAGTGCCAATGAGAGAAGAGTTGGAGGTGTAAGTACTGAACCAATTCATTTGTCGTATAACCTTCATTACCTATTGTTGTCTAGTATTTTGCCTTTGCATCTTTGAATTAACTCATAAAAATGCACTAAAGGACAAGCAACTTGCTGATCAGAGAGTTATATAGTTGCTACATGTCTACAAGTTCCAGTGTCTTCAAAACAAGACAAACGTGCACATAGGTAAATGCTATCATTTTAACAGGCAGACCAGAAATGACAATAGGAACAAAGTTAAAAGCAGAAATCTGCAGTCGTTAGGATTCAGAAGTATGTATGAATACCACCACCATGGCCTAAACCAGTCTTCCATTCCATAATGGCATTTCTATTTTTATTAAGACCACTGAATAGAAACTGAAGAATAAGCCTTATTACATACTACTTTTCCATTGTGCTTTTATATTTCATGTAAGTATAGCTATGGAGTCTTTTATATAGCTGAAAGAACAAAAGTCCATTAGACATGTTTGTAGGACATCAAAAGCAAGTCTCTTCATTGTTTCTTTCCTTTTCTTTCTAACCACAGCCAGACCAAGGGCTGATGAGCTGATAATATTTGGAAGATACTCTACAAACTGGTGCTACCAAGTCGTTAACTTCTGAGTGAGAAAGGAATCACTAATATATGATCACTAGTACATAATTACTAATATTGACAAAATGTTTCTAACATTAGATTGATGGCTAACAAAACAAAAATCAGAAAAAAAGTACTTTATAACCTTAACATGAATTAGCAGGTAAAGCATTTATATAAAACAAATAACACATCACAATCACTTCTAAACTCACACAAGACAAAGATTTGTTGCATTTGGGTTGTCTGTGTTTTAGGTGTGTTGTTTTTTTTGTTGTTGTTTCTTTTTTTTTTTTTTTTAAGTAAAGAGTTTTAAATCCCACAAAATAACCCAGGCCAGAAATAACACAGTTCTGGTGTGTGCAAATGCTTATCTAAAAAGTATGGATGAGTATTTCCTACTGCTAATATAAGGCTCCCTAAATAAAAACGTGACCAGAACGCACTATGAAGACACAAAAAAGTGTCTTGTAAAAACCTAAATGTTATCTATGGTTTGTTAGTTCACGTGATAAAGACCCCAGAATAATAAGGCCAAAGTTGGAACCATAAGAAATGACATAATTTTACCTTGCATCAGGCAGTGATAAAAGTTCAGTGATAAAAGTCTTTGTTCTGACAAGCAAATTAAAACTGACATTTACTATCCTTCCACACAGTACTCGATTATTTATTTTAAGGCTGCCATCAAGCTTAGGAGCCTAAAGCAGCTGAGTACTGTCCCCATACCTGTCGATTCTGTCAGAATGACTTTTGCAGAGTTTCATTTCATAGATCTAAAATATCTATTAAACAAAAAATGACTATTTTTACAGCATGTTAACTGCAAAACAAATAAATATCAGAAAGGAGAAATATCTTTTACTTATATTGAAAGTATATCATGACCCATCTTTAATTTTGAAGAGTTTCTAATAATAATCTGTCCAAAAAGCACAAGTTATAATGGGAAGTGAAGTTGCCTAGTGCAATTGAATACTTCAAAGCAATCACCTGCTAGAAGGAAATCTAGTCAAAGGAACCTGCAATACCAAACTTCTTTCTAAATTGTACATTTGAACTCATTAACTGAGACAGTTGAGGTCAATTATGTTGTGAGGAATTATGTAGCTATATTCAATAATTCTTCCCCTGGACAGAAGCTATGAAGTCAATTTTTGTTTTAAAAACATCCTTGACATTTATACCTTTTTATACAGGTTGTCTGGCATCTTAGCATTCTGACCGAAGACTACTGAAACGCTGTATTTCCCTTTAAAGGATTTATTCTGCAAGGGAAGCCCTTTTCTTCTTTTTCCTTTCATTTTATCTCATAGAAAGGAGAAGAAAACCAAAAACCAGGTTCATTTTCTTTTTTACCTCATGTACCTCCCTCCTTTCAGAACAAGGAAAAAACATGCCATGGATCCTTTCCTTTTTAACCCAGCAAGACTAAACCTGGAGTCTGCTTTGAGTTCCTGGGTTTCCAGATGTGAAATGTCTTCTTGAGGCCATTTTCTTCATTTTTCCTTTCTTAATTTTTCCTTACTTCTCCAGGAGTCTGCTTTGTAGATGGATAATTGCATTATATGGTAAATTCAGCTGAGTTTTCAAGCATCTTCCTAACCATCAAGTAAACAGTACAAGTGCAATCAACACTGAAGTATCAGCTGTGATTCAGATCTTTCCTACATATAAAGCCCTTGCTTATATCTCCTCATGTTTAACTTCTTGTATTCCCATTCCAGCATAATGACTTTGGCCTGACAAGAGAGAAGACAGAGGCGGCAAAGAAAAAAATGCTTTGATTTTCCATGTCAACATAAAAACTTGGAACCATGTAATGGTATGGAAGCATTAGCAAACAACAATAAACTTAAGAAGTATGTTGCTTCTAATTGCTGAGGGCTGGGCATTAATCCTACAATATTTAGAGGAAGTGTGAAATAAGGCATAAGTAGTTTAAATAAAGCCAGAGGGAAGTACCTGTTTTCTCTGTTCAAGAAACAGCCTGAGATAGAAAAGAGCAACCTCACATTTTAGTCCTGCATCACTGATGAAGTAAAGCCATAGAGGAGCTGTTTTATCTAGTAAAACAGAGGACTGGGAAGCTTCCTGTCATTTTTCTAGAACCACTGTGCTGTGAGAAGTGTCTTAAAATACTTTAATTTAGAGGTATTAAACATAAACCTTTAAAGGTCTTATGGAACATGACCTGAATTTCTCAGGCTCTTCTGCTAAGCTGATTGTTTCTGAAAATATCTTGATGAACCATAATAGAAGAATGAATCTTTATGGGGAAAAAAAAAAAACAACAAACAAATAGCAGTAACTGCTCTTGACGTGACAGTTAAGTCTTAAGGAACTCTTACCTTTTATACCATACTAACTAGTAGCTTATTCTGTCTAGAGGTGCTGGGATATTCTCTTGGGACAGATATCAACAGAATGGTAGTTTCAACCTAACACTCATGAAGATATCAGAATAGGTCATTAGGCTATTTTGGGGACAATCCTTTAACAGGCACATCAACCATATAGTGCAGGTGTTCTACAGTTTTTAAAAGAATGCATAAAAGTAGTCAAAATACATTGTGATTAATGAATGTGATTGCCACGACACTTTAGATTTGATACAGGCATCTTTTAGGATCAGCATTATGCCATTTCCGTGTCTGAAACAAAAGCAGTATGGCAGGGAGCCTGATTGCTAAGGGGAGAGTATAAAGTCTGTGATTGAAAGCTTCCAGTTTAATGGAAAATCCCCGACTTCAGCACTGACAAACCTGGATACCGGGTTTAAGCACTGAGTGAAGCAAAACTTTCTTTGTCTTGTCATGGTTTAGCCCAGTTGGCAGCTAAGCAACCACATCGCCGCTCACTCCTCCCCTCGGTGAGATGAGAAGGAGAAAATTGGAAGAAAAGGATAAAACTCATGGGTTGAGATAAGGACAGTTTAATAGGAAAGTACAAAAAAATGAGAAGGGATAACAACCACAATAATACTAACAAAAGAACAATACAAAACAATTGCTCACCATGCGGAACCCAGAACCCAGCCATGATGCCCCTTTCCTGGCTAGCTCCTCCAATATATGTTCTGAGCATGACATCATAAGGAACCAAACAGTCCCCCTTGGCTAGTTTGAGTCAGCTTCCCACGATGTGTCCCCTCCCAGCTTCCTGTGAAAAGTTAACTCTATCCCAGCCAAACCCAGGACAGTCTTCACTGATGAAAAACAGCCTTTGCAACCAGTTCAACTTCTTGTAACGCTTACTACGGAAAAATGGAAAAAAAAAAATCTGCTTTTTCTTTTGTACACTGGCATCACACATAACTTTGGGACTGATCCCTTTAGATAGAAGCCAGGGTGGTTTCAGAAAGTGACCAAAAAAACCTTCCAAACACAAAGGTTTCCTTTTCTGCGAAGAGTAGCTCCACAAACATGACCTTTGTCCTTCTACACAGAGATGTCAGCAAAGTAGAAAGAACAAATGAAGATCTTGCTAGCAAGAGGTCTCATACAGAATCGTCGAATCATTTAAGTTGGAAGTGACCTTGAAGATCATCAAGTCCAACTGTTAACCTAACACTTCCAAGTCCACTACTGAACCATGTCCCTAAGCACCGCATCTACGTGTCTTTTAAGTACATCCAGGGATAGTGACTCAACCACTTCCCTGGGCAGCCTGTTCCAATACTTGACAATCCTTTCCCTAAATTTGTCCTAATATACAACCTAAATCTCTCTTGGCACAGCTTGAGGCCATTTCCTCTCGTCCTATCTCTTGTTACTTGGGAAAAGAGATCAACACCCACCTCCCTACAACCTCCTTTCAGGTAGTTGTAGAGAGCGACAAGGTCTCCCCTCAGCCTCCTTTTCTCCAGGCTAAACAATCCCAGCTCTCTCATCTGCTCCTCGTAAGACTTGTGCTCTAGACCCTTCACCAGCTTCACTGCCCTTCTTTGGACACGTTCCAGCACCTCAATGTCTTTCTTGTAATGAGGGGCCCAAAACTGAACACAGTATTTGAGATGTGGCCTCACCAGTGCCGAGTACAGGGGGACGA